TCAGGGGACATCTAGGTCAATTGGCATAACAAAGCTTATTAAGAAAATGTTCTGCATCCTACTTTGGTGAGTGGCATCTGGGGTCTTAAAACTTCGGAAGCAGCCATCTAAGATGTATCAATTGGTCCCAACCACTTGGAGTAAAGGAGAATGAAGAACACCAAAGACACAAGGGAAGTATTAGCCCAAGAGACAGAAGGGGCCACATAAACCAGAGACTTCATCAGCCTGGGACCAGAAGAACTAGATGGTGCCCAGCTACCACCAATGACCGCCCTGACAGGGAACACAACAGAGAGTCCTGGATGGAGCAAGAGAAAGGTGGGGTGCAGATCTCAAATTCTAGTAAGAAGACCAGACTTAATGGTCTGACTGAGACTGTAGGAACCCCAGAAAGCATGGCCCCCGGATTCTCTGTTAACCCAGAACTAAAACAATTTCTGAGGCCAACTCTTCAGACAGGGATTAGACTGGACTGTGGGACATAAAGTGATACTTGTAAGGAGTGTGCCTCTTAGCTCAGGTAGGTACAAGAGACTAAATGGTCAGCTTCTGTCCGGAGGTGAGATTGGAAGGCAGAGAGGGTTAGGAGCTGGTTGAGTGGACATGGGGCATCAGGTGGAAAGGAGGAGTGTGCTGTCACAGTATGGGGAGAGCAATTAGGGTTACATAACAGTGTATGTATAAATTTTTGTATGGGGGAAAAATAAAATATTTCTTAATCCTTACTGTTTTACCAAACATAAAAAAAAGGAGAAAAGACCTGAATTTTTATCTAACAAGTAAACATTTGTTGAACATCTATCATGTGCTAGTGTTAGAGTATAATATAGACTTCATTTTAGAGGATCTTATAATATCCCATTGAATTAAATTAATAGAACTTTTGATATTTTTTGAACTTGTGATTTTTTGTGAATGTACATCTTTACAAAGATGTTTCGTATTGTTAAAATGTGTTATTTCACAAACAACATTCTAGCCAAATTAATGGAAATGCTAAGAGAAAGGAGCCACAATCCTCTTTGTAATAAATTAAACTTGCTTTTCCTGTGTTTTCCTCTAATATCTGTGAAATATTTACATAATTTTTATGCAGTTGGAATCATTGGTAAATTTAATTTTTCATTCTTCACTTTATTTCATAAATGCTTTCTTAAATGTAATTTTAAATGGTTGAATAATATTCTATTGCATGCAGAAGGGAAATAACATTGATGGAGTACCTACTATGTGCCAGGCACTGGAAATACCTGAGGTTCATGTTAAAATGTTGATTATGATTTTGGGTCTGTGGTGGATTCTGAGGTTCTTATTTCTAACAAGCTTCCAGGTGATGCTGATGCTGCTGGTTCACATACCTCGCTTTGTGTAGGAACATCCTAGAGGATGTAGGACTTGAGCAAATACCAGTTTAGGCAGGTAGAGGAGTGGGGAAAGGTATTCTAGACAGAGAGGAAAGCATAAGGAAAGGCATGGAAGCATGAAAAAAATATGATAAGTGAGCAAACTACTTATAATCTGTGGCAAGGGTTTGCAAATGACAGCTCGTCTGCAAAGTCCAGCCCTCGGCCCTCTTTTGTATATAGCCCATGTGCTAAGAGTAGTATTTACATTTTTAAAGGGTTGTAAACAAAACAAAGGAACACTGGTGGTACAATGGTTAAGCACTCAGCAGCTAACTGAAAGGTTGGCGGTTTGAGTTTACCAGCCCCTCTGTGGGAGAAGGACCTGACAATCTGCTCCCGTAAAGCCTAAAAAACCCTATGGGGCAGTTCTACTCTGTCCTGTAGGGTTGCTATGGGTCGGAGTCTACTCACCAGCACACAACAACAAACAACACAACAAAACAAAGAAGAACAAGTATCATAGATGCGCAAACCCTAAAATATTTACTATCTAGCCCTTTACAGAAAAAGTTTGCCGACCACTGAACTATGGTATTGGTGGTATTGATGGAGTATGAGATCCAAGGTGGGATATAGTGGAAGACATGTTAGAGAAGGTGGGCAGGGGTATGATCACAAAGGGTGCAGAGGAGCTTGGCCTTCATCTTTGAGGTGAAAGGGAGCCACGAAAGTGTTTAAAACAGGGGAGTGAGGTGCTCAGGTTTTTGTTTTAGAAAAATCCCTCTGGTAGAATATAAAGGGGCAGCACTGGAGGCAAGGATACTAGGAAGGAGGCCTTTGCTCTGGAAGACAATGGAAAAGGAGGGGATGGATTCAAGAACTGTCTGGGACAGAATTTTTCATTCTCTTTTGAGTGCAACCCATGGGAAGATATGCATTTCATATCATCACCCAGCACACATAGATACACACACACAGAGCAAAACTTTTCACAAAATACTTGTCCTTATTGTAGATGAACTCAAATATTTTTCACTTCATTCAAAAAATGTCAGTTCCAAAAAATCAAACTCATTACTACCCACTGAACTGATCTCATAGTGGGTCATAATCCACAGTTGGAAAACCACTGATCTGGGGATGTAAAAACAGGATTTTGTGACTGATTTGATGTGAGGGTGTGGAGAACAAGGATCCTGGCATCGGTGAATGTGTGAGTGGTGTTGCTCCTAACTGAAATCAGTGATAGAGGGGGAAGCCATTTGGAAGGCAAAGATGGTTAGTTCATTTTTGGGCATGTTGAGTTTGAGAGCCACTATAGGATACCTAGGCTTTCCAGTAGAGAAAAGATGTCAGTTTCTCATTCAGTATTATTATCTCACTGTTGTGTTTAACTGATTGTATTTCAGTAGTAGCATTTTCTATTTTTCTACACAAAGTTGTGATGTTTCAGATTTAGTGAGCTTTTCCAGCCCATGCTGGGAGTTCAGCCATCATTTACAACATCGTCAGTGTTCTAATGGGAGGAAGCAGCATGAATTTCAAATAATTGACATACATGGAAAATTTGTAAATTGGGACAAGTACATACTAGTTAGAGATGCTTATTCAATTTAGTGCTTGTATGTTAGTTCAGTATGGTTAATGTGATGGTATATTAAAATATTTATACAAGAGTATGTAGTCAGATCAGATTAATTAGTGTGTGGTGGTGTGTGTGCAATTTGCTTCAGTTTTGTATTCAAATATACTGCACTAGTAGAGGGTTATCAATTTTTATTATTCTTTTACTTGCTTACCCTAGGCTAATATAGAACCAGTGGCATTTTCTCCATACCCTTCTCCCTGTAGTACCATGATTCTTTAAGGATATACACTTTTGGGATTGTAAATGAATTTTTAGTGAAAATAATTTTTCCTAAATTGGTCATATCAGTGTAAACAGCATAGATACAAACCGGTGTTAAAAAGTTATGTATTTTAAACTAAGAAATAATAATTTTTTATTCTTTATATAGATTGAATACCTGCTTAAGAAACTTATAGAAGCTATGGGAGGAGGTTGGCAGCAAGAACAATTTGAGGATTATAAAATCAACTTTGATGACAGTAAAGATGGACTTTCAGCGTGGGAACTAATTGAACTTATTGGAAATGGACACTTTAGCAAAGGCATGGATCGGCAGACGGTGTCTATGGCAATTAGTGAAGTCTTTAGTGAGCTTATATTAGATGTGCTGAAACAGGTAAGAGTCCTATAACACTGTATTTTCCCTCATCTTTAGAATATGACATGTTTGAAATAAATAAAATTTTCATCACAAAAGTGATTATAAGTCACTTATGCTCTTACATACATTTAGAGTAGGAATGAAATTTCTTATTTTTCCAGTCTTACATTAGGATGTATTTTAAAGAATTACTGATGCAATTTTGAAGTTCAGTTAAGAATTTGGAAGTTACTGTTTTGGAAAAAACTATTAAAAAAAATCACATTTCCAAGCTTTTTAGAGTATCTTCAGGTCATATTCATATCCGTACGCATTGATCTGAAAAGATTCCATGACGTTATTGCTCTGTGCACAAAGCAGGTTGCAGGACAGCAAGTATCTTGTGATGCCTTTCATATAATATGATGTGTGTGTGTATAGCCATCTGGAAGGATGTTCACCAAAATGACAACAGTGGTCACCTCTTCAATGTAGGATTTTGGTGAATTTTATTCTCACCTTTATTCATTTTTGTATTATTGGACTTTATACATAATTACATATTATTTTTATAAAATGAAAAAAATACCCTTCCTTTTGGGAAAAAAATACCTTTATGTAACAAAGTTGCTACATAATAGCAAATAGTCTCATTAGACTATTGTCTTTGGTTTCTTGTCATCCAGCGTTTCATCTGATATACGTATGGGAAGCTTAAGATTTGTTCAATAGACTTTATATTTTTTTGGCGGATCTTGCAAACTTCTTATATTATTATATGGAATAATGATGCCAATTTGGGATTCTTTGCTCTACTCCTTTCTTTGCTCAGTAGGTGATATTGTTGCTTACCTCTTTTTTCCTAATGGAAACCATCAGTAGACATTTATTGAGGCTTAATTTATACAGGTTTCTGGTGCTAAAAAGTGTATTGAGACATGGTCTCTGTCTTAAGAGGACTTCTAGACCCATTAAAAAAAAAAACAAAAAAAAACAAACTCATTGTCATCCAGTCGATTCCGACTCAGAGTGACCCCATAGGACAGAGTAGAACTGTCCCATAGGGTTTCTAAGGAGCAACTGGTGGATTTGAACTGCTGACATTTTGGTTAGCAGCTGAGCTCTTAACCACTGTGCCACCAGGGATCCTCTAGACCCATTAGGGTGGCAGAAAATGTGACTACAGATGAATTGCAGTATGGATAGCTTTTGTTAAATGTCCAGTGATTAGAAAGCTAAACAAGTAATCTGACTGGAATTCAATGTAGTAATCAAATGAAACTTACAGCCAGGTTAATATCATATATTTAATGATATGTGTAGTCTTGACTATAGGCTATCAGCACCTGTGGATTTAATGTTAAAAAATTCATTTATTCTCGAATAATCTGTAGGTCTTTGTTCTGTCATAATTTCGCTGAAGTAAAGTTTTTAAATTACACATCTTTGAGGCTGATATGTGGGAAGGAAGCACAGGGCTAGTGAGTGTGAGTTTAGAGGCCACACTTAGAAGCCAGTATCCTAACTCCTGATCTAGTGCTTTTTTTCTGCTCATCTGGAGCAGAATTCGAAGAATCCTGATGGTGCAGTGGTTAAAGCACTCAGCTGCTAACCGAAAGGTCGACGGTTCGAACTCACCAGTTGCTCCATGGGAGAAAGGTGTGGCAGTCTGCTTCCGTAAAGATTATAGCCTTGGAAACCCTATGGAGCAGTTCTAATTTGTCCTATATGGTCGTTATGAGTCGGAATTGACTCAACAGCAGTGGGTTTTTGGTTTTGGCTTTGGACGGAATTCATCTTCCCGAATAGTGAGAGGTCAGGTAGAAAGGTAAGTTGGTGCCAAAAAAAAACAAACCAAACCCATTGCTGTCGAGTCAATTCCAACTCATAGCAACCGTATAGGACAGAGTAGAACTGCCCCATAGGGTTTCCAAGGAGCGGCTGGTGGATTCAAACTGCCAGCCTTTTGGTTGACGGCTGTGCTGTTAACCACCGCGCCACCAGGGCCCCAAGTTGGTTGCAGAAGGTGGAAATCCTCAAATATTTGGTTGAGAAGATAATACTTGGCCAAGCTGACACCTGAGCATTTTTATTGATCAAGGTCAATTTACTGAGAATCACTGTTAGGGTTTTTTTGTTGTTGTTGTTGTTGTTGTTAATATATTTTTTAAAATTTTATTTGTGGTAGTTGTTGAGAATATACACGCAAATCATACACCAACATGTACAATTTCTACATGTACAATTCAGTGACATTGATCACATTCTTCGAGTTGTGCAACTATTCTCACTCTCCTTTTCTGAGTTGTTCCTCCCCATTAACAAAAATTCACTGCCTCCTAAGGTTCCTCCTAAGGTTCGAGTTGCTGTTGTCACTTTGATCCTATGTTGTTGTTGTTAAGTGCCGTTGAGTTGGCTCTGACTCATCATGACCCTATGTACAACAGAAGGAAAACTGCTCGGTTTGAGCCCATTGTTGCAGCCACTGTGTCTATCCATCTCATCGAGGGTCTTCTTCATTTTCACTGACCCTCTACCTCACCAAGCATGATGTCCTTCTCCATGGACTGGCCCCTCCTGATAACATGTCCAAAGTACATGAGATGAAGTCTCACCATTCACTTTCAAGGAACAATCTGGCTGTTCTTCATCCAAGAGAGAATTGTTTGTTCTTCTTGCAGTCCATGGTATATTCAATATTCTTTGTCAACACCTTAATTTAAAAACATCAATTCTTCTTTGGTCTTCCTTATTCATTGCCCAGCTTCTGCATGCATATAAGGCTATTGAAAATACCATGATTTGGGTCAGGCATACCTTAGTCTTCAAAGTGACATCTTTGCTTTTCAACACATTAAATGGTCTTTTGCAGCAGATTTGCCAATGCAATGTCATTTGATTTTTTGACTGATGCTTCCATGGGTGTGATTGTGGATCCAAGTAGAATGAAATTTTTGACAACTTCAATCTTTTCTCCGTTTATCATGATGTTGCTTATTGATCCAGTTGTGAAGAATTTAGTTTTCTTTATGTTGAGGTGGAATCCATACTGAAGGCTTTGATGTTCATCACTAAGTGCTTCAAGTTCTCTTTACTTTCTGCAAACAAGATTGTGTCATCTGCATATCGCAAGCTGTTAATGAGTCTTCCTCCAATCCTGATGCCGTGTTCCTCATATAGCATCTTGGATTAATTGCTCAGGATACAGATTGAATAAGTACGGTAAAAGGTTACACCCTTGACACACACTTTTGCTGATTTGAAACCACGCAGTATCTTGTTCTGTTCAAAAGACTGCCTTTTGGTCTATGTACAGAATGTTAGGGTTTTTTTGTTGTTTAAAAAAAATTTTTTTATGGGGAATTTTTATGTGGGGAATTCGAGCATACACAGAAGCAGAGAGAATAGGGAGAATAATATAATGAACTTCCATAAACCCATCACCCAGCCCCAACAACCACCAACACATAGTTAATCCTACTCCATCTACCCACCACTTACTTCTGTATTTTGAAGCAAATCCCAGATATTTAATTCCATCTATAAATATTTCAGTGTTGTTAGGTGCCTTCGAGTGGGTTCCGAATCATAACAGCCCTATGTACAACAGAACAAAACACTGCCATGTTTTGTGCTACCTCACAATTGTTATGTTTGAGCCCATTATTGCAGTCACTGTGTCAATCCATCTCATTGAGGGTCTTCTTCTTTTTCTCCACCCTCTGCTTTACCATGCATGATGTCCTTCTCCAGGGACTGGTCCCTCCTGATAACATGTCCAAAGGATGTGAGATAAAGTCTCGCCATCCTCACTTCTAAGGAACATTCTGGCTGTATTTCTTCCAAGACAGATTTGAAGATATTTCAGTAAATTTCTCTAAAAGATAAAGACTTAAAAAAAAATACTATTAACGTCAGGGGTTCTTAATCTATGATTTTATAGAGCTTTGTTGGTGGGGGGGGTCTCTGGAGTGTCTGAAATTATATGCAAACTTTTGCCTGCAGGTGCCTGCCTGAATTTTAACTTGACCTTTATGGATTCTCAAAAGGTCCATAATCCACAAAGGAGATATTCAGGACCATATATTAGATCATGGAGTAGGCAAGACTGTCTTATAAGTAAAAGGATAATTAAAAGCTCTTACAAATAAAAGAATAAACATTTATATCAGATTTAATCTTTTATAGGGTTACATGATGAAAAAAGGGCATAGACGGAAAAACTGGACTGAACGCTGGTTTGTGCTAAAACTCAACATAATCTCTTATTATGTGAGTGAAGATCTGAAAGATAAGAAAGGAGATATTCTCTTGGATGAAAATTGCTGTGTAGAGGTAAATCTCGTATTACTTCTTTGCATGGTTTACCCAGTGCTGCCCCCTGCTGCTGAAATAGTTTCTCATCTTCCGTCTTCTAGATCCTCCAAACCCGTTGCCATGGAGTCAATCCCAACTCATAGCAATCCTATAGGACAGAGTAGAACTGCCCAATAGGATTTCCAAGGCTGTGATCTTTACAGAAGCTGACTGCCACATCTTTCTTCTGCTGAATGGCTGGTGAATTTGAACCACCAACTTTTTGGTTAGCAGCCAAGTACCTAACCACTTTGCCGCCAGGGCTCTTTTTTCTAGACCCTAGAGCCTTAAAATAATCCCAAATTTTACATTCCCAAAACAATAAAGGCATACAGTAGCCATATTTCTGAACCAAAATTAAAGATAGCTGACAAAATTTTTTTCTAATGTGACTTTATCTCCTGTGTTTTACTCATGAACAAAGTATACGGATTGAATCTCATTTGTACGTTTAATAAATCATTTATTAAACAAGTAGAGTCATAAAAAAGAAGTGAATTAAAAAAACCCAACTGTTTTGAAGACAGTGTTTGAAATCATGAATATACCAGAAAATCTGGGACATTTTGAGTGCAATAAGTAAGACAGAAGAAAATGTGAGCATTACTTTTGAATACGTTGGGTGACTTTCAGGATACTTTATTCATAGTTACTAATTTTGTAAAGAAGTGAAGTTCTCAAGATCATAACTTTTTGAATTTTTACTCTGTATGTGAAGTATCACCTGCTTGTTTCTGTCAAAGAATATTTAAAATATCTAGGATCTCGCTATAATGTACTTTGATGAATGAAATGGTATATGGATATGTTAATGGCTTGGGATGTGCAGTGCCCACTAAGCAGTTTTCTTAGGTTCAGCAAAACATGAAGACTCATAAAACTACATAGGCCACACTAGTCTACCCGTAAGGGCATAGGGCAGAACAAGTTTGCCAGCAACAACAGCCCAGGTACAAGGAGAGGAGAGCCACATCAGGCAGGTGTGGAGTCACCCAGGCTTTAAAAGCCAGTACCTTTTGTAACAATTCCATGGGTGTACCTTCCCGGCCCCCTGCAGGGGACATGCTCTGGTACAAGTGGCTGTGCTCAGAATAAGTCCAAAGCATGGTGTCCCCATCAGACGTTTAAAGCTTTCTCAGCCCAGGTGTAGCATAGCAGTCAGGTCATAAGTATTTGTGAATCAGTAATATGCTTTTATTGCTATTTTTCATTGACATTGAGTTTCAGCCAGATTTGTAGAAATAATTAAGATTAAATTAAATACTTAACAAATTAAACTTTAAATCACCAGTTTTACTTTCTGTTCTAGTCTTTGCCTGACAAAGATGGAAAGAAATGTCTTTTTCTCATTAAATGTTTTGATAAGACCTTTGAAATCAGTGCTTCAGATAAGAAGAAGAAACAGGAGTGGATTCAGGGTAAGGTAATTTTTATTATTTCACATGATTTAACTTGAGAGTTCTGACTTCCCATTTTTAAATCTCATTAAAGAGGCTGAGGCACTGTTTCCTCATTGTCTGTAGTAATTTCTGTAGATGACATAGTAGTTGAAAGAAAAACAAATTAAGGTGAGTTGACAAACTTTTTATCAATATCATTTTAATAATGCACTTGTTAGTAAATTATAAACTGGAGATTTTAACTATTTAAAGAGTATGGGATTTCTCCCTTTGAGGACTATGCAGAATTTTAAAGCGGTCATCTTGAGTTTTTGGTAATATGTAAAGCAGAGGAGGAATTATGCAATAGGTTTTGAATATGTTAAGTCATTTTTAAGATCCATTACTTCACAAGAAATCACTAGTTTCAAAGAAATATCTTAAAATTACAAACACTTAAATTTATAACTTTCAAACTAAAGCATTGCATTATTCCAAAATTGTAAAGAACGAACATTATATATGAGACTTTTTTTTTTTTCAGTCATGAAAGGGGATTCTGAATACTATACTCTTGGACATAGGTAAAGTTATGTCCTATTGAAAACTGTGGTCATTTTTGTAGGTGTTTAAGAGTTTGAGGCAAGTACACCTGGGTTTGAATCCTCTTTCCTGGGTCAGTTGGGTTGAGTTATTAATTCCGTAGGTGCTTACCTCTTCTGTAAAATGGGGATAATAATAGTACCTACCTCTCAGGGTTGTTGTGAAGATTAAACATTAGATCATGACAGATAAACTTGTACATCTTCAAAATGGCATAAATCATTCCAGCAATGTTTGTGATAGAAAGGATTGCAAACAATCTAAACGTTTATTAATTGGGAAATGATGGAATAAATTATGGTATAGCTACACAGTGGAGTACTATGCAGTAGTAAAAATAATAGGGAAGCTATGTACTGACATGGAAAACTCTGAGATGAATTATGTGAAAAAAGCAAAGGCCAGTAGAGTGTGTTATGCCACTACTTGTGTCAAGACAAGGTGAGGACATATATACATATTTCTTTGTAGATGCTGAAAATATTTTAGGAAAGATGCGCAAAAAACTGTTAGCATTAGTTGCTAATGAGGAGGGGAGCCCAGTGTTTGGGGAATAGAAATAAGAGGGAGACTTTTCCTGTAGGTCCTTTTATGCTTTTTTAGTTTGAACAATGTGGAAGTATTAGCTATTCAGAAATTACATTTAAATAATTAAAACAATGAGGGGAAGATTAAATTTCATATAAAAATGAGATAATGCATTTACAGGGCATGTATAGTGAGTATTCAATAAATGGTAGCTACTATTATCATTGCAGAAAGGGACCGTATAGGGAGATGGTTTCATAAGGCAAAGCTGAGGGTCGGACTGAACACACCAGGTAGCAAAACAGATATCAGGAACTTTGAATCTCAGCCCTTACTGCATCTTATTCTTATTTGGCTTTTTGAGAAGTACAAAGAAGGGAGTTGGAAGTGTTGTCGTAAATTCCCAAATTAACTATCTACTTAAGCCCAGATATACAGTTATGGAATTTTGGAGCTGGAAGGAACTTTATACATTATCTCCCTCATTTTAGAAATGAGGAAACTAATGCTGCAAGTGGTTATGTGACTGTTAAAGGTCACACCACCCCTCAGTGGCAGAATCATAATCCACATCGGGTCTTCTGACTCTGCCTGGTTTTCTTCCCCCTGTGCCATTCACATGTTAGACTTATAAGGAGTAAAGAGTATCTTCCCTTTTTTCTCCTACACCTTTTACAGCCATTCATTCTACTATTCATCTGTTGAAGCTTGGCAGCCCCCCACCACACAAAGAAGCCCGCCAGCGTCGGAAAGAACTCCGGAGGAAGCTGCTGGCTGAGCAGGAGGAGCTGGAGCGACAGATGAAGGAGCTCCAGGCTGCCAACGAAAACAAGCAGCAGGAGCTGGAGACTGTGAGGAAGGTGGGACTGGGTGCCGGAGCTGGGGTGCATGGGGTGGGGGAAGGGAGTGGCTCTCTATTTCATTGCAGAAGCCTCAGTGACCTTATTTATGAACTTTGGTTCTACCAAGACTAGGTTATTGCAATTTTAGGGAGATGTTTTTTCTGAACCATGTTCTCCAGAAGTGTACCCAGACCACTGAATTGAGACTCCCTGACTTTGTCAGTCCTGAAAGTCTTAGGGTCTCAGGGCAGCGAAACCACTTCCTTGACTGGAAAGGTGTATTATAAGAATCATGAACACAGGTGAATTTTGTCAGAGAAAGATGGAAAATGTCATTCCTCTGAGGACGTCAAGGCCATTTTTGGTGGCCTGGGCAGCATCTGTTGCTGTTTAAAATTTTTCCCTTTGACTTCTATCTGCATTCATGAGTACCTTGAAGACCCTTGCAGTAGAATTGTGGGTTTTACATTTACTGTCTAGTGTCAAAGATTCAGCCTGGTGGTGGTGGGTGGAGGTTGCATTGTGGCTGAAATGCCAAAGACTCTGTACTTAACCGAGATTTAGTAGATTTTGTTGAATTAATGTTTTTCTATTTGTTGTATGCTCTTAGCAATATTTCCAGAGATTTTAATTTTTTAAATAATTTTCACTGGTTATGGTGGTTTCATTGAGGAAAGTGTCTGCAGGACTCTTCATGCCTTCATTCCAGAAGTCGAGAAGTTGAGCTCTGATAATATCTTAAGAAATAATGTGTAAGATGACAAGACTGTACAAAAAGAGCCCAAGAAATACTTCTTAAATCTCATGAATGCATTTGCAAGTGAATTTAACTCAATGACTGTACAATTTTTTTTTTCTGACTTATCGCTGATCATCATTTACCTAACTTGCCTTGTATGTTGACAAGGGAAAATTGTGGGAATAGAATTCCAGTGGTCCTAAAAGTTTTTATTCTATCTTATTGATTGTTAAGAATGCTTGGCTTTTCCCATGTTTAAGTGTGACGTCTGTCTCCAAATGCACTTCCACTGTAACAATTCCTGCTTTCCTGTGGATGGGTCTTTGATTGGTAGAAACTGGAAGAAGCAGCATCTCGTGCAGCAGAAGAAGAAAAGAAACGCGTACAGACTCAAGTGGAACTGCAGGCCAGGTTCAGCACAGAGCTGGAGCGGGAGAAGCATGTGAGTGCCATGCGTCTGGGGAAGCTGCTGCCTTAGCACACAGAGCCAGCCTGGGTCTGTGGAAAGGGAGAGGGCTGCAAGGCTGGAGGTGAAGCTGTCTCATTGGCTTGGCTTTGCTACTGACTTGCAGTGGGAAATTGGGGGAAGTTATGTGTTCGTTCATTCATTTACTCCCCATTTATTGAGCACCTTCTATATGCTAGGTACTGTGCCAAGGATACACAGATAAAAAGACTACGCTTTGCTTCCAAGACCCCTAAGTAGAAGTTTATGGAATGGGGTAATAAATGCTGTGGTTAGGGTGACTGTATGTCCTGGCTTGCCTGGGACAATCCCTGTCATCCTGGTATAATTGTTAATAGCATCCCTTTTCATTCTCAAAGGGTCCTGGTTTGGATAACAACAAGCTATGGAAAAAGGAAGCATAGGTTCTGTGACATTTCTCCTCTGTAGTGAGCAAAGCGGGGGCTTCTGAAATCACGCAAACATCTGAATTCTGATCTGCAGCTCTTGTCCACTCTGATTATTCTTGGAGGTTCCCATTCCCAAGAGACAGGTTGCTTGAAGTTGTTAGCTGGTTGGTTAGAACACAGGCCTTCTCACAGTGAGTTATAATGGGTGGGATAGTGCTGAGTCAAGTGCCTGAATAGATGCTCCTTTAGCAAGTTTTTGTTGCTTAGAGTTGAAAGAGATGGTGATCGTGTTTGTGTTATGAAAGTACGCAGAGGAAGACAGACGTGACGTGAAATAAAGTGTTACATTCACAGCCAGAAGATGTGGATTTGTTTCCTCTCAGCCTTTTCTCACTGAGCATTAGTGTTTCTCTTCTTTATATTAGGGAGATTATTTTATGATCTCTCAAGACAGTTATGAGGATGAAGTGAGCTAATGCAGGTGAAAATATTTTATAAATTGCAGAGACATCTGCCAGTGGGTATAGTACTGTATTAGGATGTCTTTGTCTTTCAGCTTTTAATATAGGGATTCAAAAGTCTTTAATCTAGAAGGGAAAAACCATAAATTAGCTAAGGCACTCTTTTAACTGCTTGAGTTCCAAGGGGAGGCACGAGGTAGCTGGTGAGCACAGGAGGAGTCCGTGCTGATTAATCTTTCCTTTCCCCTTTATTTCAACACTTGGCTGCTCTGGCTGGGGAGAGGCTCATTGCTTTTAGAATAGACTGTTGGCAAAGAGGTTGCAGCCTTAAGACAGAAAGGAATTTAAAGATAAATTATATAGGGAAACTTTTTTTTCCTTGACTTGATTCTTAATATGTGGAATGGAAGAGATGAAAAATATATACCAGGGCAAGAAAACAGCATTTGGGTTATAGTTTGTTTTCCTGACACTATTTTTTTTTTTTTAAATTGTACTTTAGATAAAGGTTTACAGAACGAACTAGCTTCTCATTAAACAATTACACATATTGTTTTGTGACATTGGTTACCAACCCCACGACATGTCAGCACTCTCCCTTCTTGACCTTGGGTTCCCTATTACCGGCTTTCCTGTCCCCTCCTGCCTTCTAGTCCTTGCCCCTGGGCTGGTGTGCGCCTTTAGTCTCGCTTTGTTTTATGGGTCTGTCTAATCTTTGGCTGAAGGGTGAACCTCAGGAGTGACTTCATTAGTGAGCTAAAAGGGTGTCCATCCTTGGACTCTTTTAATGTTGGTATTGGGTTTGGTGCTCCCATCTCCTCCATCTTTAGTTCAAGGACTGAAGGATGGGGCCTGCCCACCCTGATGGGCTGCAGCTGTGGACTGTAAGGGTGGAGGTGGAGAGGGAGGCTTTTTCTGAGGGAAAAGTTAACCTGCTTTTAAACACAACCCTTTTATACCACCAGATTAGACAGCAGATGGAAGAACAGGTTGCCCAAAAATCCTCGGAACTGGAACAGTATTTGCAGCGAGTACGGGAGCTGGAAGACATGTACGTAAAGCTGCAGGAGGCTCTTGAGGATGAGAGACAGGCCCGGCAAGATGAAGAGACTGTGCGGAGGCTTCAGGCCAGGTGCCAGACCAGCTTGTGTACTTTCCCTTTATGTGCTTTGCTTGGGCTAATACAGTTTCTAGGAAATGTCTAACACTCTGGTGGAGAGGGAGGGGTATCTCTGCTCTGTATAACTGAACTTGAGGCGCAGATCCAGATTGGAGAGACCGCAGGAGACGTGGGTGGCTGCGTTATTCTCAGTCTGGGGCCCTAGGAGACCTTGCTTCTGGGGCCTAAGAAGTGCCTTATTACTATTTTAGAGGAGTCTGGTGGGTATGTTTGGTTGGATGCCTTTATAGTCATATTCTAGAATGATCCCAGGATCAGCTCTAATGAGAACCTGGCTTCTTAGACACGTCCCAGACAAGAAAGGGCCCCTGTGCTGCTTTAGTGTGGAGGCTGGAGTCTGCTTCAGGTCAGAGCTGCAGCCACTTTTTGAGGAGAAGGGGGGAATAGGCAGTTTCCATTTGGTCCTTCAGGATTGGTGACATTCCTTAAATAATTACTTGAAATCCTGGTTTTAAAAGTTCTTGAAAGCGAGATTCCTCCCCCTCCCGCCACCGCCGGGAGGAGAAGGTACAGTGAAGACCCCAAAGGGAAAAATCGAGCCATCTGTCCCGTTTTCTTCCAGTTTCTAACTTGCTGCCCTGTTTGCATTCTTTAAGATGTCTTGTGAGAGACTGTAAATATTACTGAGAAATATTTCTGAAAAACGTTACGAAAACATATTTATCCTGGTAGCAGCCACTGGTCAGTGAGGTGTGCCTTAGGCTTTGGGCCGTGACCGCTCTGTTTCTGGGAGCAGCTGTGAGATGAATTGGGGTTGATTTTCCGTGGCTGCCCTTCCACACGTGGAGTAGCTAAAGAGGTTTATTTAATCTATAGATAGGTAGAGAGAAAAAAAGGAGGCTCTTTTGTTGTATGCTTTGCCAAAAATAATTTCAAACCTTAATTGGGTTTTGAAAATCTTGATTCTACTAAAGGAAAAATTATTTTCTAAATAGATAATTAAATGCTTAGCATATTGCCTGGCATTTATAGGCCCACAAGTATGTGTTCACTGTGCCGTGGGATTAAACTAGATTCTTAGAACCACCTTCCAGTTGCCACTGGGTAGCGATGTTAGCAGAAGGTCCACTGCATGAGAAGGTTTGAGCCCCACGTGGCTTCCAAGGAGAGGCAGTCTAAGTTTCTCTAGATATTTTTTGAGCCTCTTCATAATTTGTGCTGCACTGGGAGTTTATAGATCTTGGGCAGAGAGCTCACAGGTAAGATAGGCTATATTAAGTACTTAACTGGAATTTTGACTGAGGTTTATTATGACACAACAGAGATTAGATCACAAAGGGAATCATGTAAATCTAGGGTTTTATTAAAATATTAATTGCTTAGTGTTTATAGAATGAGTGGTGCTTTGAGTAAGGGACAATTTTGAAGAGTTGAAACTAGTGGTTTTTAACCAGTGGTATGTATATAACACACTTGTCTGCTATGGAGGTTCAAGTCCACCTAGAGGTGCCTCTGATGAAAGGCCTGGTGACCTACTTCCAAAAAATCAGCCGTTGGAAACCATATGGAGCACAGTTCTATTCTGACACACATGGGGTTGTCATGAGTCCAGATCAACTCAATGGCAGCTGGTATGGTGGTGGTATGTATCAGAATCACCTATAGAACTTTATAAAAAATATAGATATGGGGCCTGTGACAGGTTTAATGAATCAGAATATCTGTGGATAAGAGCTGACAGGTTTAATGAATCAAAAATATCTGTGGATAAGAGCTGAGCATGAGTTTTTTTTTGTTTTTTAATTTGATAAATATATATGTAACAAAATATTTGCTATTTCAACATTCTTCACATATTAAATTCAGTGAAATTAATTATGTTTGTCACCATTATCACCATTATCCATTTCCGTATTTTTTCATTACCCTTAATGGGAGCTTGCCATTGCCATCGCGTTGATGCTGACTCTTAGAGACCCTATAGGACAGAGTAGAACTGCCCCATAGAATGTGTGGTGGATTTGAACTGCCAACCTTTTGGTTAGCAGACATGGCTCTTAACCACTGTGCCACCAGGGCTCCAACTAAGTTAACAGGAGCTTAGTATCCCCTAAAGCATGTATATTTTTATTTTAAAAGTTTTGACTTCCCTCCCCAGCGCCCCATCCCCCCACCGCCAAAAAAAAGGTTCTGGCAAATTCTTTTGTACCCTTTGATTTAAGCAATTAGCAAAATGGTTTCATCTTTTTTAATACAAATATAACTACTCCATACTGCTGTGCTCAATAAACTGAAAGCACTGCACAAAATTTAGCTTTTTGTTGGTGTGCAAAGGCTATTTTATGAATATAATTATTTTACTATTCTAAATTATTTTTCCTCCCGCTAAGTTTTTGAAATTTGAAATTGACAGCTCTGCGCCCTCTAGTGGTCTTTTTTTTTTACGTGGTCATTTTGAAGTGAGGCAAGCCTTTGTCTTTTTGGAAGTCTCTGAAGGCTGATCCTGATTCATGGAGATATTCTGTCAGAGGGGCTTTCTCCTTCCTCTCATGCCTCAGAATAGGCCTGTCTGGGTAGAACAAGCAAGGGAAGTCACCATAGAGTTGGGTTAGAAACATGTATGTCTGGCATTAATGAAATGAAGCAAAATTTTAGGCCAAGGGTGTACAGAAAGGGCTTATTTTTTTAAGTTTTTAAATTGTACTTTAGATGAAGGTTTACAGAACAAATAGTTTCTCATTAAACAGTTGGTACACATATTGTTTCATGACATTGGTTAACAACCCCACGACATGTCAACACTCTCTCTTCTCGACCTTGGGTTCCCTATTACCAGCTTTCCTGTCCCCTCCTCCCTTCTCGACCTTGTCCCTGGGCTGTTGTGCCCCATTAGTCTCGTTTTGTTTTATGGGCCTGTCTAATCTTTGGCTGAAGGGTGAACCTCAGGAGTGACTTCATTACTGAGCTAAAGGGGTGTCCGGGGCCATGCTCTTGGGGTTTCTTCAGTCTCTGTCAGGCTAGTAAGTCTAGTCTTTTTTTGTGAGTTAGAATTTTGTTCTGCATTTTTCTCCAGCTCTGTCTGGGACCCTCTGTTGTGATCCCTGTCAGAGCAGTCAGTAGTGGTAGCCAGGCACCATCTAGTTGTACTAGACTCCATCTGATGAAGGCCATGGTTATTGTGGTCCATTAGTCCTTTGAACGAATCTTTCCCTTGTATCTTGTTTTCTTCATTCTCCAGAAGGGACTTTTTAGTTAACCCTACCCTGTCCTTCCTTAAAGCAATAGCAAACCAGTTATTCTTGGAATATTTGACATCTCGTCGTTGTGATGGATGGTCCTTTCTCTGTCAGTGTCATAAGTTTTCCCAGAGATATGTTTTATAGTAGATTATTTAAACACAGGAACTTTGGCTAGAAGCATTTGAGTCTTGTAGTTATTATTTTATTCATTTAATAATTTTTATTGTGTTTTTGGTGAAGGTTTACACAGCAGTTTAGGTTCCCACTCAACAATTTGTACACAAGTTGTTCAGTGACATTGGCTACATTCTTCACAATGCATGAACATTCTCATTATTTCTATTCTGGTTGTTTCATTTCCATTAATCTAGTATCCCTGCTCCCTTACATTCTCATCTTCGTTTTAAAGTAATTGTTGACTGTTTGGTCTCATAAAGGTGATTTTTTAAAGGAGCACAGTTCTTATGGGTGATATTCATTATTTTTTGAGCCAATTGTTAATTTAGCTACAAGGTAACTTCAGGGGTTACTTTTGGTTCAAGGGTTTGAAGAGCATCTCAGGGCAGTAGTCCCAGGGAGTCCTCCAGTCTCAAGTCGAGTAGGTCTGATGTTTTGTTTTTTCGTAGGAATTTGAGGTTCTGTTCCATATTTTTCTCCTATTCTGTCAGGATCCATCTACTGTGTCCATCTGATTAGAATGGTTGCTGGGCACCATCTGGCTCTTCTGGTCTCAGGGTAGATGAGGCCGTGGTTCATGTAGACTGCTTGTCCTGTAGACTAGTTTCTTCTTTGAGTCTTTGGTTTCCTTCTTTATCTTTTGCTCCAGACAAGTAGAGACCAATAGTTGTATCTTAGATGGCCTCTTGTAAGCTTTTAAGACCCCAGATGCTACTCACCAAACTAGGATGTAGAACATATATTATTATTTTTTTCATTAACATTGAAGTTTATTTTTTGATGTATAATCCTCAAGGGAGGTTATCTAGCTTCTTCAGAATGGGAACTCAGAAAGTTGCTCAAATTTAATATTTGGACAACTCAAGCTACTGGAACGTTCTTGATGCTGAGCCATAACCTGTCCCTTTATAATGTTTATCACTAAATGTTTGGATACATAAGGCCGAGGAACATGTCTTAGTTGTGTCTGTGTTCCTAATAACTAGTGCAGTGGCCTGGTACACAGTAAGCACCTAAAGAACAGTTTTTGAATGAATGAATGAATCCAGGTTCTACCCATAGGGCCATGTGGAAGAGCAGCAATCTCTCTTCCATGTGATAATACTTATTATTTTATTTAAAGGCATTTTGGGATAGTGGGGAAAACACGTACTCTGGAGTGAGGTCTAGGTTTGAATCCCAGCTCTGATGCTTTCTAGCTGTCTAATTTTAGACATGTTACTTCACTACTTTGAGCCTCAATTCCTCATTCTGTAAAATAAGGGTAATTGCCAGCCTTGTTGGGTTGCTGTGAACATTAAATGAGGTAATGCATGAAGCGTTTGGTGTAATGTCTGGCATTTAGTAGTCACTCAGTGTGTTGGTTTCTGTTCTGTTCTAAATGTTAGTTTATAACATTTGCAGGTGGAGAAGATATATAATATATAGAATGTCAAAATAAGCATTTAAAAAAGATATCGACAGGCTAGAATGATGGTTTTAGACCAAGAAGATAGTTTAGTATATCAACAGAACAAATACAGGATCCAGTAGACTTGGCATAATGGCAGTTCATTTGAAAAGATTTAGGGTTTTAATTCCCTGTGATGTGATTGCCAAAAACCTCATATACTCTTAGGCAACCTTAATGAACATGAAGTGTGCAGAGCAAATGAGATGATAGTCCCATGGTAATATATGAGCTAATATTTATTCAGCACTGACCGCATGACAGGCCCTGTTCTAAGTACTTTACGTGCGTTATCACATTTAATACACCAATAAACCTTTAATGGTATATATTGTTTCCATTCCTTTTTCATAGAGGAGGAAGCTGAGGCACAGAAAAGTTAAAGCCTTTAGTCAGGGCTTTTGTTTGCAGATCACAGAAACCAACTCGAGTTAGCTGAACCTATAAAGGAATTGATTGGAAGGATCTTGAACAGCTTACCAACTCCATAGGAAGCCCGATGGCCAGGCTTGAGCATAAGCAGGAACCAACGGAAGCCGAGCACCCCTAACCACAGCCCAGCCTAGGCCGTGGGAAGAGTCCAGGGAGGATGTCACTCGCACCAACATTGGTGTCAAGTGTCAGAAGTCACCATGGCTCCTTTTGTCACTTGACACTGGGTGTTGCTGCCACCAGCAAGATAAATGCTCCACTGTCTGCTTTTTTGTGTCAGTTGCTTCAGAGTCAAAGTTCCAGAAGAGGCATCTGATTAGTTAAGCCCAGCTCATGCTTCCACTGTGCCCGGGCTTCCACGGGGCAGGAGGACAGGGATCTGGCCTGTGACTTTATTGTGGCAGGTGAGGCCTGCCTTCCATGAGGACTCACACTGTGGCACATTCCCCTAGACACGAAGGGGGTTCAGATACTGGGCAGCCTAAACAACTGCAAATACCCATTCCCTGTATTTTTACCACCAGAATGATAAAATGAGACCTTTCTGTCTTGTTCAGTGTTGTATCTCCAGTGCCTAGAAAAACATATTGTTGTTAGTTGCTGTCAAGTTGATTGCGACTCATGGCGACCCCATATGTGTGGAGTAGAACCGCTCCATAGGGTTTTTAAGGCTGTTTCTCTTTGGAAGCAGATTGCCAGGCCTGTCTTCCAAGACACCTCTGGGTGGGTTCGAAAGCATATAGAAGGTGCTTAATAAATACTTGTTGAATGAGTAAATAAACCCCGCACTGGTCAGACCACATTTGCAGTGTTGTGTTCAGTTGTGGGATGTCACACTCCAAGAGACACTAAAGAGCTAGAGTGCATCTCAAGAAGGATATTGAGCCTGGAAGCTGTGTTCCAACAGTTAAAGTTCAGGATGGTCCACTTGGAGAAGGGCGTTCTCAGCAGAAAGCGAGAGCTGCCTTCCAGTTGCTGAAGGGCTTTAACAGGAAGAGGGAGCAAGATTGGTTCTTTGTGGAACTAGGGATAGTGAATGGGAGAGCTCATTTTAGTCTAAGGAAGAACTTTCCAAGGATTGAGGCTGCCCGTAAGTAAACCAGCCTCGTTTGTGAGGCAGTGAGTGGCCCATCACCCAGAGTATTGAGCAGAGATGGACAGCTGCCTTGTAGGATGTTGTAGAGGGAATTCTTAACAATTGGTGTGGGTAGGCGGCTGGGGGCTGAAGTTGGGAGATTGCAGTATAGCCTGTTACATTGTTTCCTTTGTCATTGGTTTTAGAAGAGCAAGTGCTCTTTCATAGTGGTAACTGGTCCTCTGTGCAACTTGGCTTTGTGTGACTCCTTACCATAATACTGATGGGCAAGCCACTAGAGCTGTGTCCCCTGGTTAGGCTGGCAGCTAACTACATTGTCTCTACTGGCAGCACAGATTTAGGCTGTGTATTAGTTTATTTATTACTTATTTAAACACCTACATAGCTGGATATTCTCAGGTAGGTCGCCTGGCATACTGAAAAATGACATTTTAGAGTCACACGGACCTAGGTAGAAATCCCATTACTACCTTGCGTAACATACTTTTAACCCCTTTGATCCTCAAGTGCTTCATCTGTAATGTAGGGATAGCAATACCTTGCAGAATTGTTGTGGGATCGGCAATAATGAATGTAAAGTGCCTGGCAGGTGGTAATTGTTCAGTAAATGGTATCTATTATTATTCTCCATTTGTTAGCATCTTTCTTCACCTCTTCGTTAGTTAATTATCATATTTTTCCTTGGTAATATATTTTCACTAGACAAAAAATGTTTTAATGTTGTAGCAACCAGGCAAATTTTAAAACTTGTGGCGGATGACCTAGTACAGGTCACTTCCTTTGTGCCTCACTTTCTTCATCTCTAACATGTAAATAACAATAGCACTCAAGTTTACTCTGAGCTTATTTGAGATAATGAATTTAGCTCCTAGCTCAGTTCCTGGCACATAATACACCCTCAGTAAATGTCCATTTTTTTCAAAAAAGAGTAAAATTGAGAGCTTGGAGCAGGACACCTGGCAGCTTTGTGAATATGGGCGTCTTTGGCCCCCAGTTTCCTCCTTGTAAAATGGAGATGATCTCAGATCTTCTCTTCTGCTGAGTCATGTGTGTGACCGTGGCGGGCTTTGACCTGAACTCTTTCTCCACGTTGTAGGTTGCTGGAAGAAGAGTCTTCCAAGAGGGCTGAACTAGAAAAGTGGCACGTGGAGCAGCAGCAGGCCATTCTGACAACCGAAGCGGAGAAGCAGGAGCTGGAGAACGAGCGCGTTGTAAAAGAGCGAGCCCTGCAGGAAGCGATGGCACAGCTGGAACAGCTCGAGTTAGAGCGTAAACAAGCACTTGAGCAGTATGAGGTAATTAGACTTGTCCTGGCAAACTTTAGTTTATTTAAATTTTTAAAAGTGAACATTTTTTCAGTAGTGGAATTTTTGCTTAGCACTAAATTTGAACTGACTTGATGGCAATGGGTTTGGTTTTTGGTAAGTATGGGCGGCTAAGAAGAAGGAGGAGAGGGAGACTTTACAGAGATAGGGTTTATCAGTCAGGGTCTAATCAGAAATCATATAGTTTTTGAAAAGGGAAGTTTAGTGGAAACATTATTAATTATGACAGGGGATTACCTACTAAACTGTTAAGAATACAGGAATGGCAGATACAAGAAGCAGCCACTGCCTCTAGGACGAGGCGGAGCACACAGGGAAGGAGCAGATCTGCTCGCCCCTCCTCTCCCAGTGCTGGATCCGCCTCCTTGGAGAGGGTATGGCCTTGGCCCAGTGGGTGGCAGAAACATTTGCTGTGATGCTGTGCCAGCAACTCATGGGGAGCTGCCAACAGGGAGGTACCACTAAAACTCACCAGAGGCAAGCTCAATGGGTGTCCCCCGTGTGCCACAGGAACAGACCGGGAAGAGCAGAGCGGGACCTGGAAGAAAAGCTCTGTCCTCTTCTAGTGTCCCCTCAGCACCCTCTACTGCCAATGCTTAAATAGTGCCAGCTGGCAAGGGAGAGTTGTTCAAGAATCTCAAGCAGAACAGTGAAGGGTGGATTTGGATCTGAGATAGGGCCGGATTAAGGCACGTGAGGGCCCTAAGCACTGATAATCTGTGGTGCCCCGTCCTCTGCTTACTCATGCATTCAAACGGAATATGTGACTTATATATATATATATATATACGTGTGTATATATATATATATATATATATGTATATATTGCTAACCCTCTTGGCTGGAGTTGCTGGATCAGCAGACGTGGATATACAAGATGGTTCTCTCAAAATGGATAAGAGGCCTATTATCTATTGATATAATCTGTCCTTGCCCAGTAACTGCTCATGTTGGATCCAGTTGCATGTTGGGTGAAGGTAGTAAGAGTTAGACTCGACAGCCCACCCCCACCTCTTGTTTATTAGAAAGAAATGGTATACTCCCAAGAGACCCACTGAGATAAGGAGTTTCAGTTACATGTGAGGGGACCGTAGGAGACAGATGTCCACAAAAGTGTTGAAGTGATAGGGACCTCATAGCTTAAACAGCCTTGTGGGTGGATGCCCTGGTGGCCCCGCTTGAACTTTATTTCCGGCGAGCACATTCTCACGCACTGGAGCTGGTATCGGTTTCTTTTAGTGCCAGATCCCTTCCACTGCGGCGCTCAGTTTTCCTGGTGTCCTGTCTGCTTGGCATCTGTGGGTCTTTGCTTTGGACAGCTGGTGCCCCGATTTTGTGGATGCCCTAAGCAGTTGTTTACGTTGCTTATTGAGTAATCTGCCCCTGATTTGAGAGGCAATGAATGGGTAACTGACGCACGAGGATCTTACACATTCATCTGTATCTAGTGTGAATATAGTAGAAGGAGTATAGGGCTTTTGAATCAGGTAGCCTGGGTTCAAATCCTGGCTCCACTGCTTTCTTCCTGCTGTGTGACTCTGGGCAGGCTACTTAACCTTCCTGAATCTAGTTCCTCATCTGTAAAATGGGGGTGATAATAGTTCCTACTTCTCAGAGTGGCTGTGAGGATTTAATGAGATAATCCATTAGCATATATTAAGTGCCCAATCATTGTTATCAAAATCTGCTTTGTTCCAGGGAGTTAAAAAGAAGCTGGAGATGGCAACAAGTAAGACCAAGAGCTGGAAGGACAAAGTGGCCCAACATGAAGGATTAATTCGGTTGATAGAACCAGGTAACAGACTCTTTGAAATAATCATATATTTATTCAATTTATTTTTCTTGGTTTATTTGTGTATTTGAATTGTGCTCCCCCAAAGAAAATTTCTGTTTTTTTTTTTAAGCCCAAATATTCAGAAACCAAGCTGTTAGGGTAAATTCTCTTGAATAACTTGTCCTTTAGTAGGTAAGAGGGCCCAGTTAATCCCCTTTGTGTACATCTTCTAGTTGTTTTGGCTGGTATAGCATACCATCAATACACATTTATGGATGTTTCTTAGAGAAGAAATAGAGTAGAAAAGTTACTGTTTTTGTCTGCGGGGAAGCATGATAATGTGCATTGAAGACTATAATGTTTTAGGTATTTACAGCATGTTTCTCTACTAGGTTCAAAAAACCCTCACCTAATCACTAACTGGGGACCTGCAGCTTTCACCGAGGCAGAACTTGAAGAGAGAGAGAAGAGCTGGAAAGAAAAAAAGACCACTGAGTAACTGAACATGGCAGAAGAAGCATCGGTCATATAGATACCAAGTGTAGCTGGAAAGCTTTATGCTAAATGCAGAAAAGAACTGGCTTTGCTGCTCTTAGCTTTTCTTCCTTCAGTGCTTCCAATTGGGTGAATATGCTAAAGAAGACTTCTTATTTATCTTCCTGCAAATAGGACCTTATTGGGGGGAAAAAAGTCAATATTGTCAAGCTCCTTACTCTTCCTTTGAAAACTCAGCTTCTGAAAATTACCTTTCGTTCAGCTCTCTCAGATTCTTTTTGGAATGAGGCAGCATTGGAGGCCACACAGTCCACTCTGCACTGTTTGGAGAGGAGTGGGGTATAGGTGCTCCATGTCACTGAAAAATCAGAAACTCTTTAGACTGGATGTCAGTTACTTCCTTTGGTAGCGTGTTTCCTTCTCCAAGTATGTGTTTTTAAACTCTAGTGGCCAGTCTGTCTGCCATTCCATGCTGTTTGACAGACTGCCGTTGGCATTGGTGCTCTGAAAGGGAAGTCATGGCCTCGCTGCCATTTCCTGGCTTCTCTTCTGGAATGTGATCTGGTTAGTGGAGGTTTTCTAGCTTCTACTACAACGTTTCTTTCATAAACCATCACACACAGCATGTATCATTTCCATCTCCTTTCCTTTCACCTCAAAGAAAAATGTCCAGTTGGCCCACACTCTCAACCTAATTCTCTCTCTTTAGCAGTAGAGTGATGTGCTACCCTTGTTGGCCAGGTACATGCCTGGTCGTGAGAGGATTATGTTGAGCTGTTGTTGTTGTTGTTAGTTACTCAGTTGCCATTGAATCAATTCCCACTCATGGCGACCCCATGTGTGCAGAGTATAACTGCTCCATAGGGTTTTCAATGCTGTGAACTTTCAGAAGCAGATCACCAGGCCTGCCTTCCGAGGTGCGTCTGAGTGGATTTGAACTGCCAACCTTTCAGCTAGTACTTGAGCACTTAACTGTTTGCACCACCCTGGGATTCCATTATGCTGAGTAGTAGAAGCTAATTTGAAATAATAATTATTCTGGTAATTTATAAAGCACTCTGTAATGGGAAGTTGACTGTATGTTTGCTAGTTAGATTCAAAGCATCATAAAGACGATGGCCTATCACTATATTAGCCCAGTCATGATGTTAGCTGTTGTTAGGTGGGCAGCATTTCTGCTTTGTCTATCTTCTATGGGTGGCAGTAGAGGAAATATCCAGTAAAAACAAGTTTAGCAGGGAGTTTGGAACAGGACTTTGAACCGGTTCATTCTGGGATGAACCGGTTCTAAGCCCTGGTGTGGGGTCTTAGTTTCCATGCATCTGATTTGAAAGGTGTACTGGGGGAGGTTTTCACAGTCTGTCTTGGGATTGAAAATAATTTTTATGAAATCAAGGCCTCCAACACTGATTATAAACAGCAGTAATTCCATGGTTCTGATGCAATGATGCTTAAAATTGTAAATAAATCTGGTGATGATTCAGTTGTTGCAAACGAGAAAGAATTCAGTGGGAGGGTTAAAGTCCCCCTCCCTCTGCAGGTATTCAGTGAGTACAGAAGACCCTCATGTGTTCTTGCTCTAATGCTTGCAGCGATTTCACAAAGATGCACACATCTAGGATAATATTGTTTCAGAAATTTCAGTACACGTATTTATTTTCAAGAGAGGAAATTACAACGTAATACCATAAATTATCACCTTTTATGACTGGAAAATATTTGCCAATGAAATGGCCTTTAGGAATTTGTCTTAAGGTTTTTGGCTTTTTAATAAAAATGTAATTTTTATTTAATGATCTCTTTGAAGTGCCTTTATAAAATTTAGGTTATTATTATCTGAAAGGTCTTTGTATCATATGCCTTTGAAGTTTCTCAGCTAATTTGGAGGTTAGCCACTTAGCAGCATTATCCTTTTATTCAATAGCTGGCAGGTGTGCTAGGCCAGTGAGACCTAGATGAGGAATGGAACCCTTCCTGAGGTTTGATTATGCATCACACCAGGGGACTTCAGTATCCCTCATAAAGAATGAGGAAAGGACACTTTACAAATAAGCTAATGACTCGTGAAATCTCCGGGGGTGGAAAGAGTGTGGGCTGGGGAGCCAAAGAACCAGTGCCTGGAGGGAGAGTGGGTTGGAATATGTGTATTTCTCCTTGTGGAGAGCTGGCATAGTAGGCCATGCATCTTTGCAGATGCAGATGGCTGTCCTTAAACCTGGCACGTGCCACAGCTACATCTGAAAACATGAACTGGGCTTGGCTGTTCTATCCCTGGCTCCATGGACCACTCCGCCTGGGCTGGGGCTGTCAGCCTGAGGACGGCCTGCTTTCCAGCCACGTTCAGACCTTGACCAAGTGCATACAGTATATGTATGTGGTTGTGTTGATTTCTGTGTAATGCAGAACATGACTAATTTACATCCTGGCTTCAGTGGCACAAACTCAAGGAGGCAAAAATCCTTTCAAACAATGCTCTGGTTAGGATAGATACTTACCATCAAGACAGCACAGAAATCCCGTTTAGAATGGTATTTTAATACTAACTGAATTCTCCTAATGTTTGAAATAGTTTCAACTGGTATCAGCTGTCAAAATGCTGTAATTACTGTACAGGAGTGTGTGAATGTCCTAATCATGCTTTTTCCTTCATAAGTAGGGATATGATCATTTACAGGAATTATACATGAAAAACAAGTTTTAAAAATGTATTTTTGTGATGTGCTGCGTTGAGAAGGAACAATATATTTATAATGTTCAAACATTCTTCTTATCTAAACATTGTACAATGTAATATGCTCAACTTTCTTAATTTTTTGCTAATTTTTCTAAGATATATTAAAAATGTTTTGTATTTTTTTTTTTTTTTAGTAAAATGGATCCAGTAAGAAAATAAAAAGTATCAGAACAACGTACATTTCACCTGTCGGGTTTAATAAAGCAATGGGGTAAAGTGTGTACTCTGTGTGCATATTTTCATATCATTAAGTGGACTTTGGGGTAAGAACACTTCCTGAAAACACTGAATTTGCATTTTGGACTTCCAAACCAGTGCTGTCAAGAAGTGAGCTATGTATGGCCTTGTGTTTGGTGTTTGACTCATGAATGTGGGGAAACCCTGGCTGATGTGTCAGCTTGCGAACGGGAACTTACGAAGTTGTTTTCTCCCTCATTGTTGCTGTTACTTCCACATCCTCCTACCTCTGCTTTCCCAAATTTTCTTTTTATGCCTTTCAGTTTTTCTTTCACCAGAGTAAACAGTGTGGTTTTTTGTTTTGATTTTACATGATTGCCAAGATCAAAATGCCTATTGTGGGTTAAGCAGGCTCACTAAATCCAGCGTAATGGTGTCTTGGAAAGCTGGTCTTTCTTAGGGGGAGAGGGAGAACGCACGGTGGGGTTTTTAAATGATTCTTTCTCCACGGTAGTGGGTCTCAACTGGGGAATGATTTTGCTCCCTGAAGGGTATTTGGCACTGTCTGGAGACATTTTTGGTTGTCACCACCGGAGGGAGTGTTACTGGCATCTAGTAGGTAGAGGCCAAGGATGCTGCTAAATATCCTACAATGCACAGGACGGCCCCCATCACAAAGAATTATCTGGTCCAAAACGTCAGGAGTACCAAGGTCTAGAAAATCCTCTCTACAGAAAGGTCCAGAACACAACAGGCCCTTAGAGTCAGGGTTTCCTTTTAAGGAGTCCACCTCTTCGGTGTAAATGGTGTTCACCTGGACGCCAGAGTCAGCTCTCTGAGCTGGAGGAGAGCAGAGGGCAGGGGCTTTGGCACGCTCAGTGCCGGGCATTGGGTTTCAGAAACTCGCTTTTCCACATAGGTCTGAAGGGAATTGCTTTGGATATGTTGTAAAGTCTCTCTGTGATTCAGGTTGCTGGAGCGTGAAGTGTAAAAGCTTCCTTGCCTTGATTTCTTCCCTTGAGTGGGAATCCAGGGTGGGTGTGTCAGAACCGCTCGGCAGCTGGTGAGGAATGAGCTTTCAGACTTACCACCCAGGTGGTGATATGCCCTGTGTAGCACTGGTGCTTGTCCTAACTGGCAAAGCCATAATCATACCTTTGGGGTAGTGCCAGCAAGGCACAGCAGCCCAGTGGAGTGAGGGCCGTGGAGGACCAGGTTAGGAAGCTGGGCTGTATGGAGTGATGAGCAGGACTTGCAGTGTGGCAGAGAAGCCCCTACCTTTACCAGCTCAGAGTAGGTGCTCAAAATTAATTGAAAGAATCAATCTTGGGACTAGTTTAAGGAGTATCTGTCTATTTCTTTGCTCTCTTTACCCCTCTACTTCCTTCTTTATTTATATATTCATTTTGAGACCTGTAAAAATCGCCCCTCAGCTTTGGAAAACTATTTGGCAGTATCTACAAAAGCTAAAGACAACACTGATCCTATGGGTCAGCAGCTGCACTCCCAGGGGAAGTGAGATCTGTGTCCACTGGAAGACTTACACACGAAGGTTTCGTTCTTACTGACTTCAGCCTGGAGACAACCCAAATAACCATCAAAAGAGAATAGATTAATGAGATACTGATCTATCGGAACTGTTGACAAAGGAATACTACAATAGAAAAGCAACAAAAAGATGTTATCGAGACATGCAACAACATGGATGAATCTCAGACGTTATGTTGTGCAAAGAAGCCAAATGTAAAAAGTATATACTGTAGGATTCCATTTATGGTAATTTCCAGAACAGGCAGTGCTAATCTATGGTTTAGAAGTCAGAATGGTGGTTATCTGGGGGTGGGAGGGAGTGGTTATTGACTGGGAAGGGGCACAAGAGGACCTTCTGGGATGCTGGAAATGGGTGGTGGTTACATATGTAAGCATTTATCAACTTTACACTCAAGATTTGTGCAGTTTACTATTTGTGGAACATCAAAATTGGAAAGTAAATACCCCTCAACCTCTGCCTGTAGAATGCTAGAACTGGCTAACCCTAGAGATTTGTAGAGAAGGGCCTGAAAAGGGATGTGCAAAATCCATACTGGAACTCTTGACCTTTTTCTGGAATGCTGTCAGTTACACCACCTGCTTCATCTCAGGTCGTTTAAATACATTTTGGTGTCAAACATGTTATTTCTCAGTGTGCCTCTATCCCCCATCACCCAGCTAGCTGCCACATCCACGCTTCACCCCTACCGTGGAGGGGAGGGCCTTGACTCCTTCTAGTCCTGTCCTCAGCCTCCTTCGACCTTTCTGAGGTTACTGAGTCTTTGGTCTTGGGTAGTGGGGAAATCTGTGGTGGACACTAAATTCAACCAGGGCTGGACTCAGACTTCTCTTCCTGTCCTTACCACAGCAAACCGCAGTGACACGGTCACTGCCGTGCACCCACAAGAATGCAGGCCTTTGGCCAGTGGACTTTAGGAGCGGGTAGAGGAAAGCTTTGTCTGGTAACCCCATTCTGTTCAGTCCCTAAGCCCTGCAGCCTGCCCTTCCTCCCTGATCCTGAGAAGCCCTCATTTCCTGTCTGGTTTCACCCTGCCTCTCTTAGGCAGCAACTGCTGCTTTGACCAGCATCCCCTTGGCGGCGGCGGGCGGTGGGGGGTGGGGGAGGGCAGATTATCCAATAAGCAAGGTAAGCACAGTGCTTACCTTGCTTACCAGATCATCTGTAGTGAACAATTTCACATGTTTTCACCACATCAAAAATTCTGCTTCTAGGTATGGCCAGCGTCTGTCTCTCTCCCAACCGACAGCACCTTCCTACAGAATCAAAGCCTCTTTTCAAATTTTTGATTTCTGACAGGGGTGGATGACTCAGTAAGCAAGGTAAGTATGGGCGTATTTGTGCTTACTTACTAATCTGGGTCTGCAGGAGAGTAGGCCTCCCTGGGCCTCATTCTTCCTCCTCTGTTCTCAGGTTTCCTGTTCTTCTCCTGACAGGTCAGCCCTGACTGTCCTGGGCTGGCTCCCCCTGGGAAGACGTAGTGCTGCCCCCTCCAACTTGTCTTCCTGCTCCCCCTGGGAACCCCGGGCACAGTCCCTCCTCCCCTGCAACAACAGTGAGCAGCATCACTGAGCACTGCCAAGCTGGGCTCTCTGTTCTCAGTCAGAGGGCATTTGCTTATGAAATGTTGGTTTACAAGGAACACGAAGGCTAGCCTAAAAAGGGCAGAGGTGGGAGACTTCATCCCAGAGCCCCAAGGCCCTTTGCTCCTCATTGCACAGTAATCTGGAAGATGGAAAAAGACAGAGTGAATGGGTTTCTTTCTAGAGTGGCTGTCCTCTAGACTGAGCTTATAAGTGGTCAGTGCTTGAAACACCCGCACCCCCAATCCAGCCTTTAAAAATACTGAGTTGGAAAAGAGTCAAACAACCTGGGTTCAAACTCCGAAGAGTCGAACATTCCTTGTGTCCCCTTGGGTGAGTCAGACTCAGGTGGGGCATTCTCAGATGGACTACTGCACAGGTGATGTGTCCTCAGTGTCACACCTGGAGGGCTGTTGCCCTGAAACACCCCCACCTTCCCAGTCACACCAGCCCTTTGGAGGGCTCCAAAAGGTTGTGGGCTGGATCTCAATGGCTGGTGACTGCCATCTCCCAGTAGACCCCCAAGGACACACAGCCTCTGCTGTCCCCTCATGGATCCCATGGTGTCCTTGTGGCCATTACAGCCTTTTGGCTGTTGGTGGCTGAGCTTTTCTCCACTCCCCCTCCCAGGGCCTCAAACAGAAGCTGTGGTTTCCACGGCCACTTTTGATATTCTTGATTCTGCCTCAATAGTAGTGGAGTGAGGGTCCTCACTGGTGCTTCAGCTCTGATCAAAGACAGGCCCAGCACTGCTGAAAGGCAAAGAAGGCCTTCTTATCACTGTATCTCCAGCACACCACATAGCACCTAACAGGTTCTTAGTAAATG